CAGGGGGCGCTGCCCGCGGCGGGAGCGGGGTGCGGGCTGCGGGCTGCGGGGCCCGCCTGAGGGACCGGCCGGGCCGGGGCGCTGAGGGACGGGCCCGTGGCCCCTCAGCCTTTTGTGCCAAGAAGCAAAACCACCGCCTGCTGCTGTCCTGGCCTCCCAGTGACACCAGTAACGGGCTGTTGACCGAGCAGGCCAGTCCTCTGACCGCCCTCACGGTGGGACAGCCAAGTGTGTGAAATCCCACTGCCTGAGGTGCAAAGCAGAAGGGGGCAAAGCCAGAGCAGTAGATATATCAGTTTTACACAGAGTTAGAGCATTAGGCACCTGTGAGGCCATGGGACTTGTGTAGATGCCACATGTTCCCCTTTCCTGGACAGGGCCAGGCGAATGGTGCTGGTGTGGCCACGTAAGAAACACTGGATTTAGATGTCCAGGTCTTGTGTTCCTGCTGCACACCCTGAGGGATGAACCATGTGCTCCTCGATCGGCCGAATGAGGCTTCGTATCAAAGCATGATACGAGCAGTGGTTCTATCACCCCATGATTCCTCCCCACTCAAGAAGAGGAATCAGAAAAAGGAGACCCGTGTGTTATAATGGAAACAGCTTTAATAAAATAATAGTAAAGAACAGCAGTAGATCCCAATCCTCACATGAAGCAGAAAGCGTTTGTCCAGCTCATACAGAGGTCTCAACCTGCGTGCTCCAAGCAGCAGATGCCCAACACCGAGCACCACAGCTCCAGTGAGCAGGACAGTCCCTGCCAACTGGGCAGCAGGCCTGGGGCAGAGCCACAGACAGGACTCTCCAGAGATGGTAGCTGCTGATGAACTGCCCACCCCCAGCAAACTTCCTGATGTATAGTGAGTGTTTATGGTGTGGCCAAAGGAATGGACAGTTCTGTTGGCCAGCTTGGGTCAGATGCCCTGGCCTTTGCTCCTGCCAGCCCTAGGACCTAGCCAGCTTAAGACTGCTAGGGACTTTGATGACTCTGGAACCTGCATACCATGGCTGGCCACAGACTATACCCAACTGTTTTCTCAACTTTGTTCTCACGGAAGTGGCTGCTGCAGTCTTCTCAAAATTTCAGCTTCCCTGGACAGAAATTAATTCTAGAGGCACATCCAGCATTGCACGGGGCACAATCTCCCCTTGTCTACAGTGTTCTCAAATTGTAGGCATTTGTTTTCCAACAACAAAAAAAACAACAGCAAAAAAAACCTACAAAAGGTGCTCCTGCTGCTGGCAACTCAAGTCCAACTTGTCAGTTGGGTCAGTATTACAGAGTTCACATTAGAGCATTATCCACCTGGGAGGCCATGGGAGTGACTTGTCCAGATGCAAATTACTCCCTGTTCCTGAACATGAATTCTTTCCCTTGCTCCTATCATCTAAACAAAAGCTTGGTTTCCAGATGTAACAAACATCTCATCTCTGGAGCTGGAGCACACCAGGAGGGTGGCACTGCCCGCAGACAGCCTCTCTCTTCCCAACATCCCACACAACCACGCTGCAGGAGAAGGTGAAAAGTGTGTTTGGACATGAAAGAGGTTCTCCTGCATCCTGAATGATATCTCTGTGGTTTACAGCCCTCCTGCCAGGGTTGCCTTGCCTGCCTGAGCTACACGTACATGTTCACATGCTGTGTTTTAAAATGGCATATCTCCTGTTGTCCTGCCCTGGTAGCTGGGGCACGTTGGTTAAGGCTCCTGCCCTTTGTGGTGGCTGTAGATGTTCAGTTGAATGCAGAGCTGACAAGGCAGGGGCCCAGCAGGGGAGTCTTGTTGGCTGCTGGTGTATGAACACCAGACAGAATTTTGCTTATCACTCAGCAGTTTCAACCATGGACTCTTGAATTGTGCTGCATGGTGTTCAGTGGGTGATCCTGGGAGAGTCCTGGCAACCCACAGAGGCTACACAATTGTGTGTGGCTTGAAGGGTGGGACCGGGACCACAGAGAAGTGGAGGCTGAGGCTGTTTCTGGTGAGCTATGTACCTTGGTATTGGGCTCAAAATTCCTACCAAGTGTGCCTGTGCTGTGGTACTGCTGGGTTGCTCTTTGGCCTCAAGCCATAAATAGGCCAGAGAGGTGTGAGAATCACCGAACTGGCTCACCTGCCCTCCAGCATCCTAAACTGGAACAGACTGGGTGGAGTGGGCTGAGTCTAAACTGTGGGAGGGGACCTCAAGCATTCCTGAAGGCAGCACCCACATTCCCGTTCTGGCACCATGTTGCCCTCTCTCCACAGCACCACATGGCTGGCAGGGAGGGGAGGATGGCGAGTGGAGCTGCCCGTGGTGCGGCTGGCAGAGGCTGCAGCAGCCAGGCTGGGCCAG